GTAAATATTTTCCTTTTGCAATTATTTATTTTACAATTCTGTTAGAGTTTGTTAGCGTAGAAAGATGCCTTGTCAGGCAATTTTACTTGTATATAAAGAGCACACACTGTACAGATGATATATAGAATGATACAGAAAGAAAATTCCCACGATGATTTCTCCTAAATCCTTCATGGTATCAGAGCAATTCTGAGATCCAGTGTATTTTTTTTCTCTTTTCTTCTTCTTGTCTTTTTCTTCTTCTTCTTTGCCTCACTATCTACATCTGAACAATGGGAGATGAAACTCCAGTTACACCTTCAGCTATTTCTAAGGATGATGGCACTGGTTCTTCAGCTCCTACCATTGCTCAACAGATTGATATCTCCCATCCTTACTTTCTTACCCCATCTGATAGCCCAGGGATGAACTTGATCAACACCATTTTTGATGGCACAAGTTATGGGAATTTGAAGAGGGGCATCTTAATTGCTTTGTCAGCCAAAAACAAGCTCGGTTTCATCACTGGAGCCTGTCCTCCACCCTTTTCTCAGTCTGCTCTACTCACTCAATGGAAGAGATGCAACGACATGGTACTTTCTTGGTTGCTCAACTCTGTTAGCAAGGAAATTGCAGAAAGTGTCATCTACTCTCAAACTGCTGAGGAACTCTGGAAAGAGCTGGAGCAAAGGTATGGACAAGCCGATGGCACAAAATTGTTTCAGCTACAGAGAGAGTTAAATACAATCAGGGAACTTCTGATGTTGCCAGCTATTTTAACAAGCTCAAAAGGATTTAGGATCAAATGAAGGTGCTTAATACTTTTATGATTTGTAGTTGTGATTGTAAGTGTGGTGCTAAAACTCACAACCATAAGGTGAATGAAGACCAAAAATTAATTCGATTTCTGTTGGGACTGAATGAAGCCTACAATGGAGTGAGAGGTAACATTCTAATGATGAAACCCTTACCTTTTACTGCTCAAGCCTATTCCATTGTATTACATGATGAGTCACAAAGAGAAATTCAGTCTGATACTTCCTTTTCCGTTGAGTCTTCTGCTTTTATGGTTTCTGGGAAAAAATGGGCTCCTCAGAAACATCATGAAGGAGCCAAAGTTGGTATTCCAAACTCAGGTGCTGATGGAAAAAGGAGTGATCTCTTCTGCAACTACTGCAAAAAATTTGGGCATGTCAAGGAAGGTTGCTATAAGTTAATAGGATACCCACCACATTTTAAGTTTAACAGGCAGAAACAGGGTGCATATGCTACTCCTAATGCAAATTCAGCCAGTTGTACACCTGAACTCACCACAGGAATTTCAGGAAATGGTGTTTCCTCTCTTGTTCAGTCTCATGGATTTTCTAAAGAGCAAGTCAAGCAGTTGATTAGCATGTTTCAATCTATACAGAATGGAGGATCCACTTCAAACTCTGCTGCCTCACCCAGTGCTAATCTAGCTGGTATACACTTTGCTTGTCACTTCTTTACCTCTTTGTTTTCTCTGCTCACTCCCATTCCTTGGATCATAGATTCAGGAGCATCTCAACATATGACATATCAAAAACACCTGTTACACAATATAACAGTTCTGTCACCACCAATTTTGGTCAGCCTCCCCAATTCCTCTAAAGTAAAAGTACATTATATAAGAAGTATATTCTTAACACCTAAATTTGAACTACACCATGTGTTATTTGTTCCTTGTTTCAGTAGCAATTTGTTATCAGTCTATCAATTGTGCTACCAATTTAATTGTGATCTTCTTTTTAACAAGTTTGGTTGTGCTATACAGGTCCCTTCAAAGAAGAGGGATCAGATTTTTGGTAAAGCTGCATCAGGGCTCTATGTGCTGAAGGATAACACTCGCCAGTTGGAATCTCGATCGATCAAGCCTCATACACCAGTCTCTTCTCTTTCTAATGTCGCGTCCAAGTCTTGTAGTCCAATGCCTTCTTCTAAGTATGAGTCAGTTTGTCCAAAGTCTTTGTATCCAGGGTCTGTCCATCCTGTTTATCAAGGACAATCAAATGACATTATGAATAAAATTGTTTCTATTTCCCATGTTTCTGTTATGGATAAACTATGGCATTCAAGATTAGGACACTTACCTTTTACAGCTATAAAGCATATTAAAGACATTCCTATTACTTTTTTAGATAAAGAAGACTGCCATTGCACAATTTGCCCTATGGCAAGACAGTCGAAACTGCCTTTTTATCCTAGTAAAATCACCTCAAACCACTGTTTTGATCTAATACATATTGACATCTGGGGGCTTTATAAAACTCTTATTTATAAAGGTGAGAGATATTTCCTTACAATTGTTGATGACTTTTCTAGGAGCACCTGGACTTATCTTCTTGCCACTAAGTCTAATGCTTTTACCACATTAAAACACTTTCTTGCCCTTGTTGAAAGACAGTTCTCTACTAAAGTTAAGGTGATTAGGTCTGATAATGCCTATGAGCTTGGGACAGGACTTATACCTAAAGATTTCTTTTATTCTCAAGGAATACTACACCAAACCAGTTGTGTCTCTACCCCACAACAAAATAGGGTAGTTGAGCGCAAACACATGCATCTTTTGGAAACTTGTAGGGCCCTTCTCTTTCAATCTAATTTACCTAAGAAATTTTGGGGTGAATGCTTGCTGACTGCTACCTTTCTTATTAATAGATTTCCTTCTCGAGTGCTACATCACAAAACTCCCTATGAAATTTTTTTGGTTCTTCTCCTGCCTACTCTTCTTTAAAGGTTTTTGGATGCTTATGCTTTGCTTCTACTCTTTCCCATGGTAGAGATAAACTAGCACCTAGAGCAATTCCAGGAGTGTTTTTAGGGTATCCTTTTGGTAAAAAAGGATATAAGATTCTCAATTTACAAACAAACAATATTTTTGTTTCCAGGGATGTCAAGTTTGTCGAAACTATTTTTCCATTTTCTTTCCCTGCACCAATGACTAAGTTGTTTCCTGATTCTTTTCCCAAATCTGTTCTTCCCACACATAATCCTATTCCTACTTCAAAGGTTCAGTCCCCGTTCACTACACATTCAACCACTAGTCCTCATTCCCTTATTAGTCCTACTTCTCCTAATGGCGATGCTTCCTCTCCTACTGGGCCACATACTCCTACATCACCAATTTTTTTATACCCATCTCCACCTGCAGGTACACAAGACTCTTTAGAACCAGTGTTATCCTCATCACATGGACCTGAGCTGTGCAAATCCATAAGAGTTCACAATGCCCCTAAGTATCTCTCCGATTATCTCTGCAATAATGCTTTTTCTATTTCTCCTAATCCTCATTTCCTTCCATTCCATTCCTTTTGTTTCTCTGCCTTAACTAAAGATAACCAGGGGCTCATTTCTTCTATATGTCACATTAATGAACCTCAAACCTATCACCAAGCAGCTGCTCATCCTGGATGGCAAGATGCCATGGTAAAGGAGTTTGAGGCATTGGCGTCTAATCATACTTGGGATATTGTCGAACTGCCTGAAGGGAAGAAGGCATTGCCCTGCAAGTGGGTTTACAAAGTTAAGCTGAAATCTGATGGGACTTTGGAGTGACTGAAAGCGAGATTGGTAATTCGAGGGGACACACAAAGGGAAGGAATTGACTATACTGATACCTTCTCTCTGGTTGTGAAAATAACAACAATCCGCTGCATTTTGTCTATTGTTGTGAAAAGAAATTAGGATTTGTTTCAACTTGACGTCAATAACGCCTTCCTCCATGGTGAATTAGATGAAGAAGTATATATGAGGTTCCCACCTGGACTATCTCCTCCATCTCCTTCTCATGTTTGTCGACTTAGAAAATCATTGTACGGCCTCAAACAAGCTTCTCATCAGTGGTATGCATGTTTGTCTTCTGCTTTGGGAACCAGAGGTTTCACTTCCTTCCTTAATGACTACTCCCTTTTCTTCAAAGTATCTGGGGATTTGATAACCATTCTTGCGGTTTACGTGGATGATGTCTTGATCACTGGTAATAATCAAGCAGAAATCAATGAGATCTAACAGTTTCTTGACATGGAATTTAAAATAAAGGATTTGGGGTTGGCACATTATTTCTTGGGTTTAGAATTGATCAGGGAATCAGGAGATTTAATTGTCACACAAAGAAAGTTTGCTTTAGAGTTACTTACAGATTTTGATTGCTTGGATGTTCGACCAGCTTCTTCTCCATTGGATCCTACCATTAAGCTTTCTTCCAGTTGTGGTGAACCTCTCCCTGATCCGACTGTTTACCGACGTCTTTTGGGAAAACTGAATTTTTTAACTAGCACACGTCCAGACCTTTATTTTGCTGTGCAAACTCTCAGTCAACATATGCAATCTCCCTATACTGGACATTACCAAGCAGCATTGCATGTTTTGCGTTACATTTCCAGGGATCCAGGTCTTGGTTTATTCATGTCTTCTGAACCTTCATTTCAACTCTTAGCTTTCAGCGATGTCGACTCGGCTTCTTGCTCCAATACACGTCGTTCAGTGAGTGGTTTTTTCTTAAGTCTTGGTGGTTGCCCCATTTCTTGGAAATCTAAGAAGCAGCAGGTAGTTGCTCTTTCTTCTGCAGAAGCTGAATACCGTTCAATGCGCCGATTAGCTGCTGAAATAACTTGGGTGGTCCGATTGTTGCACGACCTATCTGTTGTGCCCTCTTTGCCGGTTCCTCTTCATTGCGATAACCAAGCAGCCATCCGCATAGCAAAAAATCCCATCTTTCATGAACGGACCAAGAATATTGAGCTTGATTGTCACTTCGTTCGTGAAAAACTTCTGGATGGATTGATTTCTTTGTCTTTTGTTCCTTCTTCTTCTCAAATCGCCGATCTTTTTACAAAAGCACTAGTTGGTCCTTTCCATAGATCTTTTCTGGGCAAGCTTGGAGTCCGATCACCGATCTCCAGCTTGAAGGGGGGTGTTGCCGGACAAAATCTTCATTCTACATTTCCGACGAGTCTCCGATTACAGAAGGAGAAGGAGACGTGACCTAGTTGAGAGAAAGAACATCTAAGGTTCTCAAAGATTGCTATGATTAAGACGTGTGTCCTCCATCATGCATCTCATAAGCTGCACAGTTGTGGAATTCTAGAAACAACATTAAGGGTAGATTAGGGATTTTACCATGTAAATATTTTCCTTTTGCAATTATTTATTTTACAATTCTGTTAGAGTTTGTTAGCGTAGAAAGATGCCTTGTCAGACAATTTTACTTGTATATAAAAAGCACACACTGTACAAATGATATATAGGATGATACATAAAGAAAATTCCCATGAGGATTTCTCCTAAATCCTTCAATATTCAAAATATAGAGGATTTCAAATAAAATAATTCAAGTTCCACATAACTTTTAAAATAATAATAATAATAAATCAATTTACCTCAATCAATGGAATTTTTACATCCTATAGCAAAGGTTAACACCTTATTTATTTTAAATAAATACCATTTAAAAAAATTATATTCTATAGATACCTTTTAAGGTTTATAGCAAAATATTTAATTTTGGTTACCTCCTACCCCTAAGCCACTAAATACGCTAATTAGTTACACTTTTTTCTTTCTCTCTCTACTTTGATACATCCCATTCTCTTCCTCCATCCCATTAAAATTTCCGATCTCCTCCTCCTTCCACCAATTTTCTTTCTATCCCTTCCCACTTTCCCCTCCCTTTACACCAGCGTGATAATCCTTCTGTCGTCGTTCTTGGTTGGTTTTTCGGTCGCTGAAAAATCTCGTTATAACCCTCTTTAAAGGATTCTACAACTACCCTTTCTTTAACTTTCTCTTCTTCTCATCTTCCGGCGACATCCAACTTTTTTTCTTTCTTTTTGCTTTGTCTTCTTCTGGAATTAAACCGCAGTAGAGGAGTTGGAATATGAGGCAACGGCGCTCGACGCAGAGCTGGAGAGTTGCAACTTTGAATTGCTGGTTGCGGTGGAAACTGGGCCGCCATTCGACGTCAAGTCCAACGAGAAGATGGCGGCAGTCGTGGAAAGAGGATTCGGTTTCGGAGATCCATTGAGTGACGATTTCTTTCTTTCGCGATGAAGAAGAACATTTCTTTTAATATATTTCAATGTAATTTCAACGTATTAGGCTATATTTTCATGATTTTTATTGTATTAATTGTCTTTTTTTTTCCATTGTAATTCAATGTATCTCACTGTATTCCATGTATTTTATTGTATTCTCTTTTCATTATATTCCAATGTATCCCGTTGTATTCTATGTATTTCATCGTATTCACTGTCTCGCTATATGCCATGAATGTATTCATAAGTTTTTTTTAATTAATATAATTTATGTATTCAGATGTATTATATAATTTCTCTAAAGATTGCTATGTTTTTAGGGTATTTTTTGGTTGAGAATCTTTTTTATAACTAAAAATACAAATTTTGTGTGTTATAATTGAGTTTGTTGAGTTATATTAGGAGTCTGTTATGTTAATTGATTCACTTTCTGTTTTAAAAACAGTGTAATCCCCTATTGCACGCCATGAATACAGTCGAATACAATAATCTGTCCAATTGTAATCCCGTGTTTCACTCCATGAACACAATCGAATACACTCAAATACAACTAATTAGTTGGATTTCCCTGATTCACGCCTATTTTTGCTATTGTATTCATGAATACAATAGTTTAAATATATCAAATACATCTTATAACCACATAAAAGGTATCTATAATCCGTAATATAACAAATGATATCTATAGATGATTAATTACTACTAAAAGATAGTGTTTTATGAAAATTTCTCTCTAATGTAAGTAGGTGAGCCTCAACCCTCAAGGCATTTTAATAGTGCATTGCCCAAGGAAAATCCGTGACGAGTTTCAGAAAAGTCTTTTTAAATAAACAAATAAATTTACTTTGATATTGTGAATTAAAATATTAACAAAGATAAGCACAAAGATAAATGTTCCTTAGATTTTAAGGGAATATGAACCTACCAATGTTGACTAGCTGAAGTTTATACTCCCATGATTACGTGAGTAAATAACTGTTGAAACCAACAATTTAAAAGTAAATAGAAAACCAATAGTAGTACTTTTTTTTTAGGGAGGAACCAATACTTTTATGAATTGACAATATAATCTATATTATCTATCTATCTAGATTTCTCTCTATATATATCTATATTTATTTATCTATCTATCTATATTATTATAAAAGTACGAATAATTTAGGTTAAATGTTGAACGATTAAAATATCCCCAAAATATTGATTGACTTTTATGACCTTAAATATTTGTATAAGTTAAGGATATAATTGTAAACCACTTGAGAATGAATTTCTTTTCCATTTAAACTACACATACACCGAACCTACAAAGTCGACTTTGGGTCAAATTCTTTTTTGGACTCTATCGTTTTGGACTCTACTCCTCACTGCCTACTTCTTCCTGGACAACACTATGCACGTGTCTCCATTATGCTTATGGTATGCTTTTTTTTTAGGTTTTTATTGTATATTTATTCTCTTACTCCATTAATTTTGGAATTGTATTCTTCCACAATTATGTTTAACTGTTTTCTTTTTTTGTAGTTTACAAATAGCTAATATGCTTATGGTATTCCAAAAAAAATAAAGACGGAGACGAACCAAACTTTATATCTATATCTATAACTATATTATTATAAAAGCATGAATATTGGAGCACTAAATATAGAACGATAAAAATATTCTTGAAATATTGACCGACTTTTTTTTTTTGTTAAGTAAAAACCTTTTATTTACCAAGTAAATATTTATAACTTACAAAAACCATCTCTTAACAGCCTTCTGATGGACATGAAGCCCTAGCATTAGGTTCGTTCTCTACATCTTACTCTCCTATTACATATCTAATGTAGGTCATTCTGGATACCAGTTCATTCTTCTCAAATAAGTATCCAGCTTTGTACTATATTGAGCTCTAACATGTATCTCCTGTATGATCATTTTCACTATATTCTGTGCATTGGCTTGCTTCTTCTGAAAATAGCATTGTTCCTAGCTTGCCATATATGGTAGACTGCTGCAGCTAGTACCATTCTGAATACTTCAGTTCCTGCACTCTTTCCTGCTGCCTTCTTCTCTGCCACTGAATTTCTTCCTGCCATTCTTTCTTCCTTCCCGTGATCCCTTGCCATGATAGTAGCTTCTGCCATATCTCATTTGACTATTCACATTCGAAAAATAAATGCTGCAATGTTTCATTCTTCTTGTGACACATTGTACATAGTATTTCATCTACTAATCCCCATCTTGCTAGCCTCTCTTTAATGGCTAATTTGTCTAGTATAGCCAGCCTTAGGATAAAGATCCACTTTGGTAATCCCTTGTTGTTGCATAGTATTCTTCTCCAAGTCACCTTTTGGAATTTCCCTTGTAATTCTTTGTATATCTTCCTGGTAGAGAATCTTTCCATGTAGCTCACATCAGCTTCTAAATGTCCAGCATCTTGAAATTGTTTTCTAGTCTTGAAAATCTTCTGAATAACCCATGAAGCATTCTTTGGTTATGTATTCCATATGTTGTTATTCTTTATATAGTATGCATGAACCC